GCCCTCACCACAAGCCCCGCCCTCACCATGAGCCCCGCCCTCACCATCAGCACGCCAAAGGACCACCAGTCGGCGCTCTGCGTGTGGCCCCGTCGGTTCACCACCTCGGGCGCCATGTACTCGATGGTCCCGCAGAACGAGTAGGCGCGCGTGTCGTGGTCGATGGCCTCCTTGCTCAGCCCGAAATCTAGGGAAACCGTGCGCGGCCCTCAGTCCCTGAGGCCCAGCCGAGGCTTCCGTGGCATTTCTGTGAATTCTGCCCACTGGGCATCACGGCCCCACCCACTCTGTCTGCCCAACTCAACCCCCGACGCCAGCGCCGCCGCACCCACAGGCGCTCCCCGGCAACGTCTTCAGAAGCCCACAGATTCAGGAGCCCTGGAAGGTGTCAAGAATTTGTACTTCTGCCGGCCGGCGTGGCTCAGTGGCTGACCATCGACCTATGAACCAGGAGGTCACAGTTTGATTCCTGGTCAGGACCCAGGCCCGGGTTGCAGGCTTGATCGATCCCCAGTGTGGGGTGTGCAGGAGGCGGCCGATCAGTGATTCTCTCTCATCATTGATGTTTCTCTCTCCCCCTCTCCCTTCCTCTCTCTGAAATCAATAAAATATATATTTTTTTAAAAAGAAATTGTACTTCTTAGTGACCACCATGAAGTCCCAGGAGACCTGATTTCTAACAGCCCCACGCAGGCCAGCAAAGGGCCTGACAGCACGGGGACCACAGACCAGACAGCAGGCGGGGTTTGCTGGGAGGGAAAGGAGGAGGGAAGAGGAGGGAGGAGGAGGGAGTAACAAGGAGGGAGGAGGAGGGAGGAGGAAGGGGGAAAGGAGGGAAAAGTGAAGAAGGAAGCATGAGAAGGGGTGGGCCTTCCTCTCTCTGAAATCAAGGAGAGAGGAGGACGGGGGAGGAGGAGGGAGGAGGGAGAGAGATAGAAACACCCTCTCTTCTCCACCTCCCTCGCCCTACTCCCGTGGCGGGAGGTTCTCAGGGCAGGTGCTCACTCACCTGTGACCTTGATGTGACCCTCTTCGTCCAGGAGGATGCTGAGGGGAGAGCAGAGGCTCCGTCAGCTCCCAGCAGGTAGGCACTGGGGGGATGTGCACGCCACCCAGGGACCCCCAGGCCGCCCGTGCGCAGTCTCCGTGCGGGAGCCGCCACTGCCCGTGCAGAACTAAGAGGACCCCTTCCTGTGTTTCCATCTTTGCTTTTCGGTAACACCTAATCTTGGCCCAGAAATGAGCAGCTTTCACATGAGCCCTCACTAATCCTCACTGACATCTTTCCTCCTGCAGCCCTGCCATGACGTATGATCTTTCTACCTATAAAGATCCCTTCGGGCCGAAACCGGTGTGGCTCAGTGGATAGAGCGTCAGCCTGCGGACTGAGGGGTCCCGGGTTCGATTCCGGTCAGGGGCATGTACCTTGGTTGCGGGCACATCCCCAGTGGGGAGTGTGCAGGAGGCAGCTGGTCGATGTTTCTCTCTCATCGATGTTTCTAACTCTATCTCTCTCTTTCCTCTC